AAATCTGACAATTGTAACATTAACAATTTAAGCAATCTTAATAATTAAGAAAAACACATATATTAATGTTTAATTTTGTTCACGTTAAAACACTGACATAAAACATGAGTACATACTGTAGACCTAATCATAAAAAATTGAAATAGAAAAACCACATTATGATTTTTTTTAACGTTAAACATTTATTTTGAATCCGACTAAAATCAAATGAATGCACGATGGCGTGCATTTCGATACTATTTTCTTCAGAACCACGCCCAAGAATTAGGCCTACGTTAAAATTAGGTGGGGTGCAGCATCTGATATCAATCATCCACAATAGGAACAATTGGTATTGTTGAGTGACAGACTTCAGTCCTACATATTTGTTCGACCATTGGGGGATATGTTTGAAACCCGTCAGTGACAAGGATGCATCCAATGGCGTGATTCACCAGTGACATGTCGGTCCTTTTCAAATATTTACTTTAATAATACTAATTAGTCATAATAATGATAATAAAGGTGATAACAACAACAATATTAATAGTAATATTTATTTTAACAATACTAAAAGTAATAATACCAATTGGAAATAATAATCGATATTTAAATATCTATTTTAATAATACTAATTAGTGATAATAACATTGAAGGTGATAATAGCAATAATAACAGCAATAATAAATTAAAGATAACGTTTATTTTTATAATAATAGTAATACTAATTACTATTAGTATTACTATTATTATAATAGTAATAATAATAGTAATTAGTATTACTATTATTATAATAGTAATACTAATTAGTAATAATAATAATAATAATTATGATACTTATAATACTAGGCCTACTTAGTAATAATAGGGTAATAATATTGATAATAAAGGTGACAACAACAATAATAATAATAATAATAATAATAATAATAATAATAATATTAATAATAATAATAATAATATGAGAAAAATACCAATAAACACGAATAACAATATTTTTAAAATTACTATTAAAATAATAATACTAAGACTAATATATAATAATAATAATATGAATTAAAAAAATCGAGAATTTTGTATTATTTATATGGTAACAATAATAATATCAGCAAAAATTTAAACAATAGGCCTACATAATGTTAATGCTAAGACTAATAATTGATATTAAAACTAACGGTAATAAAAACAATAATAATAACAATGACACCAATAATAACAGCAATATTATTGTGGCCGAGTTGACTTGTGGCCGAGTTAACTTGTGGCCGAGTTGACTTGTGGCCGAGTTGACTGCAGCCGAACTTTTTGTGGCCGAGTTGATTTGTGGCCGAGTTGACTGTGGCCGAGTTGACTTGTGGCCGAGTTAGATCGAATTCGTACTGTAGTATAGTAGGACCTTTATAGGCCTAGGAGTTGTATCTACTAGTCTTCAAGTTCATACTTGGTATATTTAATCTTACCAAATAGTCCTAGCTTAGGATCCAAACCATTTCACATAGGCCTATAACCTAGGCAGCAATGTGGCAATATAAAATTCTAACAAAAGAAAATGGCAAACAAAATACCCCACAAGGGAACCAGTCAATTCGAGCGGCCAGATGCCACTTCGAGCGAAGGCCAATTCGAGCGGATTTTTTTTCGAGCGGAATAAGATCCACTTGTGCGAACAAAAACCTGTGCGAGTTATATATGACTTTCTTTAAAATTTCTTTATTTCTATTTTTGAGCTAACGATTTGCTCAAGCTTTGCCTGGGAGGCTGGGAAAAGCCCCAGTCGGTTCCGGGGAAGACGCCTATAGCCTAATGTATAGCAAGTCGTATTTAATGGATTTTTAGGTTAACAAATAATAAAGTTCAATTTGTTCTGAATGTATATGGTAAGTGAATCCTATTGGGAATAGGAATTTCCTTTATAGCCTGACATCTCTATCTTAGAGTAAATAAATAAATAAACAAACAAACATACCCACATTCATAAAAATAATGATATATCTTTAATTATAGGCTACTAACTTAGTCAATGTTATCCTTTCCACATGTTTAAAAAAATTAGTGGGTTTTTGCACTTTAGAAGAAAATTGGTATGATGTCATTATTTCTGTACTGTTGATACTTGTCACAGGGGCGGATCCATAATTTTTCAAAGGGAGAGGGGGCACACAACAGTTCCAGAATAGATAAATGAGTAGCACATAACATTAATATGCATTGAAATTTTTAAAATAGTGGCAAAACCGCCCCTGTCTCACACTACTACACCATTCATTTGTGCAACTTCTGACATACCTACATACGTAAAAATAATTTAAATTCCTATGGTGATTAACAATTACACAATTAAAGTTGCTCCCATTTACAAATATAGGCCTAAATCGTAAATCTTCAAATACAATTACAAAATTATATAAATCAATTACAAATATAGTTTGCTTTTTTA